ATCAGTTAGCGCTCCTCAGAAGATATGTAGATCAGTTAGCGCTCCTCAGAAGATATGTGGATCAGTTAGCGCTCCTCAGAAGATATGTAGATCAGTTAGCGCTCCTCAGAAGATATGTGGATCAGTTAGCGCTCCTCAGAAGATATGTAGATCAGTTAGCGCTCCTCAGAAGATATGTGGATCAGTTAGCGCTCCTCAGAAGATATGTAGATCAGTTAGCGCTCCTCAGAAGATATGTGGATCAGTTAGCGCTCCTCAGAAGATATGTAGATCAGTTAGCGCTCCTCAGAAGATATGTGGATCAGTTAGCGCTCCTCAGAAGATATGTAGATCAGTTAGCGCTCCTCAGAAGATATGTGGATCAGTTAGCGCTCCTCAGAAGATATGTAGATCAGTTAGCGCTCCTCAGAAGATATGTAGATCAGTTAGTGCTCCTTAGAAGATATGTAGATCAGTTAGTGCTATTCACTGCCGCAATGTACATGGGGAAAAAAATCCATTCAATTCATATATTGACGTTACGGTGAACAACAATATGAAACGTTACAACACTTTTTGTAAATTTATTATTTTTGATATTAGTATCGGTGCATTAAACACTAAATATTATATATTTTGGAAACTATTACAAATCATCGGTTACCATTGAAACCATCCAGGACACCCGTCGACATTGATGGATGAAGTGCCTTGTGTCATTACAAAGTTTTTTGGGTTTCATGTACAAGTTGATGTCTCGGGGAATACCGAGCCGGACGTTTGGTGTTAGAAAATTCGTGACCACGAGGACCCGATTGCGAGTTGGAAGTCAGTATTAAATACGACAATGTTATATTTATTTATTTTTAATTTCAAAAAACAACAACAATAATGATAATAATTGCACTGTTTATTATTTCTCGCAACGACGGTGTCTCGGAGGAGGGGAAATAACTCTTCTCAAAAACGGTACTATGTGTAGTAATATTATTTGTCATTGTGTGTAAAATCAGCTGACCGGTTGCACGATAATTGTTGTATTCATAGTGTATTCATGGTCTAATGGCAGTTGTTTTCAGTTGATAGATTCATGTACAGAACAAACATCACGAATGTATGAAGGACTTCCCTAGGCCACTTTAACGTATTTAAAGCTCTGGTATGGATTTGGTTTGCGACCGACTCGATTCCACATACTTATGTATTTGAGTAGATACTTATAAGATAATGCTTTGTCATACGGATGTTGATCACGGTTTTTAAACTAAGGGCGTGTTCTTACCCATGCTTGAGTTTACAAGTGAAATAGATTTCTCGCAAGCTACTTGAATAAAATGGGTCGTTGACAGATATACAGCGGTGGCAGGAAGCCTGTTTCTATAGCTGTCAGTTCATTCTGACTTGGTTGAAACCTGAGATAAAGCATCTACATATATATGTTGATAAGATGCGTGCATTGGTTTCCTTTTTTAAATAACATATTTCAATTTGTGACGATCAAAATGCATCATGAATATACATTTGCCAATTTTCCTCGAGACACGGAAACGGTTATTTTATTAACTTTACCAGTTTCGCTTGAGGTTCGGTTCCTTTCAGCAACAAATCTGCCATCTTACATTCTTTCCCAGAGTAATCTAAAACAGTTCTTCTTTGTCCCTTAAACTGACATTACCTTACATATCTATACCGTACAATATTGAAACAACGCCCCTCGTGTCATATACCACTTCGTATTACCGCAATCTTATTTCAAGGAACTCTTTTTCTGTTTTGCCCCTAACAATTTGTCTATATTTCCTCTTTGATGTATCCCCATAACGGCAGTGTATAGCTGACAAATAGTTGCAATGTTACAGCATTTATGTGTAATTGATTTTCTTATAAAGCTTGAAAACCTGCGGACATTACTGGTTTTTTCCAGAACCTTATCAGCTCAAGTAAGCAGATTTTAACAATTTCAGAACAAATACATTATAGTAATAAAACATCATTTTCAAAAGATGAAATGGTGTATGGTTAACAGTTTTAAATACATACACATTCTAAAATGTCCCCCTTCACGCGGCGAGTGATTGTAATTGGTATACCAGTTTTCTGTGAAGTTGAATTCTCTATAAGAGCCTCGCCATCTAGAATTGACGTAGTCTGAAATGAAATTAATGGCAGTTTAAAGTTAATAGGTAACTACTTAATTGAACACTATGTTTCAAACATTAAGATCTTCCAATCAACATTATTTTCTGTTTTCCAACGAGTAAATGATACCGGAAGTGTGAGTTTTAGAAAGATAAATAAAAAATGACTGTTTACTGGAACCTAATTTTTTGAAATCCGTTTATATATGAAATTGTTATGTTTTATTTATTAGACAAACCTTTAATGGTACTCCGTCTAGGCCTATCCCCTCAATTTCTTCTCCGAGTTTGTAAACATATTTTCTGACTCCTAATCCTTCTACCCCGGCCAGTGCAGTCCAAGTGTCCCCGTCTAACTGGTATTCCAGTGTTCCCGCCTTTTCTTTGAATACTTGGCGGGCCATTGGTTCAAGTTCTGAAAAATAGCATTTTTATTAGTGAGGGAACTTTAAAACATGTGGTCTTGTTCCAATATTGTTAAACACTTTAGAACAGTTTCGTGAGCACTTGTTTTAATGAACTCACATTTCTATATTGAGTATTGTCGCGGTTATTTGTTTGTTTATCCTGAACCATTTACAGTAAAACCTTGTTATAATAGTATGTCGACCTTCAGCCAACCTGAGAATATTTCTATAACAATAACTCAACAAGTTTCATCTATCTCAAAGCTATCGGTCTTTTTGATAAAATAGGAGTCACCGTAGCCACTTTCAGTTGCTACCTAGAGGCGAACGCTTAATAACATTATACTGTATACATTTTAATTCATTGAATGAAATAGGGTAGCCACCTGATCATAGTTTAAGAGTAAGCATTAATATTTTAGACGATATCGCATCGCGCACAGAGGTTAAATATTTTATTGAAAGCAGCTTGTACATTGTATAATTCAATGGAAAAGACATGTACATGTATGTATCCCTATGCAATGTGGTATGGACTATAGTTAAATTCGTATCATAATGACTATACGTGTTACGGTATATTACGGTATATAATATTAAAGAGGACGTTAGCCAAATGAATATGTATTAATGTAACAGAAGAGGGAAAATGCATGGCCAAACTGGGGTTCGAACCCGGGACCCTCCTAAATTTTTTGAAGGACACTACCAATTTAGATATATGGTCGCCGAGGATCGGCCCAGTCCATCAGAACATGCACTTAATGCTTGAAACAAAGCGTTAGTCACAGGCACCACTGTAATAGGTGAGGAAAAATACATGGCCAGACCGGGGTTCGAACCCGGGACCCTCCGAACTCTAGACGGACGCTCTATTACATTTTGTAAATTAAGGACTACCAATCACAAATTTATTGTGGAAACCGACAGATGGCATGATATTGATTATAGTGAAAGAAAATGTCCACACTGTAACAGTCAGCGAATTGGTGACGAATTCCATTACTTGCTTGAGTGTCCGTCACTGTCTGGGTATAGAATTTTATACATGAATATAGATAAATATTTTTGGACGAGACCAAATGTAATTAAGTTCTATGAATTAATGAATACTACTAATATAAAAACACTGAGGAAACTTTGTACTTTGAACAGAATAATTAATAATATTTGTTCACCTTGATACAAATGTGCATTTATTAAGAAACAGTACTGTGTACCACCGACTACGAACACTACAATTACTATATAATATATTGTAAATATTTTTCTCTATACATTGTATTGTGAAAGAGAATAAAGTTGAATTGAATTTAATTGGTCGCCGACGATCGACCCAGTCCAGTTCCGCTACACTACTTAAAACCATTACCATCTCTTGCCACTTGGAGCCTTTTTTATTTTTTCAATCTTAATCATTAAATGAAAACATTATAAGTAAGGTTGCATAATCAAAAAGGAAAAAGGAAAATGTAGAAATTAGATATTTACATTCAGCAAATTGTAATGTAAAATGTAGACCTCCTTAACGATGACTAGATACCTATACAGATGTACATTGTATCTTGTTCAAAGCATTACACAGAACTTGATACTATGGTTCCATCATATAGAGTTATCGAATAGTTGTTTTAACAAGAAAGTGTTTAGTAATTATTTGTGAATTTAGAAAAAAAACGGGTCCCTGTTTTAGCCAAAACTTTCACTGACGAAAATAATGTTGACAAGGTAATACAAATGACGTCATCACCATATGAGCATTGCAATGCGCTACTTCCATTATTTGAGTCGATTGTTCTGATAACATTTTGTTATTTACAACTCTCTTCGCCAGGAATTCAAAGGATGGTAAATGAAGGTTTTTTTTACCAAGTTGTCCGATATTCTATACGATATAGGTCAATTTGGCTTTTCATGATATTCCCGTGATTGCAAGTACGAACCCGAGTTTGTAGAATCAGCGAAACAAAAACACAAACAAAAAACCTTCAACCCTTCTCCTGACATATATATGTATCTTGGGTGATGTTTTTCTTTTACATGGACTCAAGACCGGATTTTTTTCCACACAAATAATATGAAACTTTTCTATGATAATGGTGTTGTTATTTTAACAACCTAACCGGCTCATACTTAATTTGATTAAAACCTTAATGATTGTAATTTTTCCTATTTGATTGTGTAAAATAAACTACATGTATTTCCTATGTAAGTATACGCATCGTGTAGCCTACATGAGAATCAGAAAACAAAGATGCCTGACATATATTCTTAATAAGAGCGCAGCTCTTCTTGCGCCGAAAACAATTGAAGTCATGGTAACGTCGAAATACTATGCTCCAAAATCCTTCGTCACGGAAGTAGCTAGTATAGAGTTACCGCGGTCCTATTTTTACGATGCTGTTTAGCTTTGCTACACATTCTCAAAAATATCTCTTTATTTGATAATTTTTTTCTGTGGTTATTTAAGTTCATGACATTAGAAATTATAGAAACTGAAGCTTCTTTCAAATTTTCAGTCTTTTCTTCTCTCCACCCAAACCGTAAGTATATAGTAACTACTAAACCAGACGAAAATCCGGATATGTTTGGGCTATTGTGATTCTCTTTTTACACGATTTAGAGGGATCAGGCAAAGTATAGCATGTCGGAAAATAAAATTGGAATTAAATCACCAATATACTAAACTTTTATAATAACAGATAATAACAGTTACATTTGATAAACAATACATCTTCAAATATGAAGTCCCTCTACTGGGCCTCACTCTTTCCGCAACATTACGCTGAGGCCATAAACGGGGCAATTAAATGCAACAGTACCAAATGAATTTGTGTTTTCTCTTGAACTGCAAAATTCATTCGAATGCTTTTCTTTACTTATTATTAATTTTACATTTATCGCTATAAAACGAATAAATAGATAATATTTTAAACAATGTTATTTAGAAAATAAAATTGAAAAAAACAGCATTTAGACGCTTCTCTCGTTTCAGGCAATGCCTGTTTTCAAAATGAATGATTTTGCCCAGCAACTGATTCAAGTATATAACATAAAAAAAAAACCGGTACATTTTGTATGTATTAAAATGGGTAATGTTATGATTCAAAAATAATACTATACTATCGAAACAAATGTTCGAGCTTCGCTCTCTCCAGGCCATGCCTGAGTCATATTAACGTATACCGTCTTACATTACCACACCGCCTATCATTAGTATAAAATATATACGCGGGAAATATCGATGATGACGTCGTAATGACTGAAAATTGTTCTACATCCGGTGGATCCAAAATGACGGCTTCCATGCACGCGCGATTTCCCAAATTATGCAAGTGAATAGACTTGCTAGGCCCCTGTGATTTCATGGTTTATTTTATCTTGGGTTTCTTTTACGTGTACGTGTTACCTATGAAGCTCACACAAGAGCGTTCGCTGTTAAAGTTAACGTCTGTCTTTTATGGTTACGTTTCGTTGATGATATTTAGTTGCCGACACTGTTCCCCACTGCATGTAACCGTTGTGGGATCATCTTAGAATCGAAACAATTGTCACACGCTATCTGACAATTGTTCTCATTCCAACCACCAGATCAAGCTCTAAAACCATAAAAATGCGTTTGGACTGGCCACCATTTTGAAAATATCGTTTTTTTCCCTGAGCTTTTCAGAGGAAAACGATTTAGCCAGCCAGATTAAGCATTTATCACATGCCTATGCAATCTTACGATATTAATACTCCATTTTGTCAGGTGTGTTTTCTGTCTGCTTGTATCACACATGTGCGATACAAGATCCTGTATCACCACAGTAGCCGGAACTACTTTTTAGGGGAATTCCCTCTACTGATACCGCTAAAAATAGCCTGGTATTTGTATTCAACATAAACTTCCAAATATCGTCACAGTCGCGTAAAACATCACATTCATCACCTCCAACGAAATACCGACGAATACTGCCAATTGTTGACTCAGATGATGAAGATTTTATCTAGATTTCTTGTGTTTTCTGACCTTGGCGTGTGACGTCACTCAGACTCAGCGCGTGCTGTGACGTTGCGAGACTTTGGGAGAATTTGTAATGACCGACATTTAAACTTACATGAATATACGTAACTTTATGGCATTAAATGTGTTGCATTTGAATTATTCTTTGTTATTTTGTATTTAACCATTAATATTTAAAATGTTGTACACCTAAAGGTACAGTTCAGTCTCAAAAAGTCTCTTATCATTCACAGGTCCTGTGAACCATGCAATGATTTTTTTTTTAAAGCCATGCAATGATTTTTTTTTAAGAATTTGTGTCTATATCTCAGAATTATCAAAACAACACATTAATTATACAAAGAATGTATCAAATAAAAATAAAAGAAAAAAGAAAGTTTGTGGTGGCGGAGGAATATATCACTCGTGCGAAGCGCACTCGTGATATATTCCTCCGCCACCACAAACTCATGCGATCCGAATACTCAGATCAACACATATGTGTGGTATTGCCTATATCCCATATATTCGAACAAAGTTTGCGCAGAAAAATAAATCACATTTTTCTAATGTGTACGGCTAATATTTGGTAAAAGATTTTCATTTCATCACGTAGCCTTTTTCGCATTGCGGCATCGGAGAGTTCCAAACTCGTGACGACACGTCATTGTTGAGCCATTGTGACGTCACGTCACGTGAAATCGGGTGTAAGATAGAAATTTCCTACACCCCTTTCTTACCCTGGACAGCTCTGTCTTACACAAAGAGAAATGAGAGAACAAAATCTATCTGCTGCCCCTTAGACACATTTCGGTCTTGGGATCTGTATCTTTGTTTTTTCTATCTTGTTTTCGAATGAAGCGGTTAAGTTAATATGAAATATCACGTATTCAGATTTTTCCTAACGAGTCCTCAGATCAATGACGGTACAGCAGAGTGTTACATTAAACAAGTTTCCCGATTGCACTTGTTTTGGTTTAACGTGTAAGTAATAACGTGCTTTCAAGAAATCATATTCGATGG